GGTGGGAAGGCTGTCGTGCTGCAACTAAGAAAAAGTTTGTAACAGTTCCCTCGGAACAGTTTTGCAAAAGCTTATGGGAAATGCTTTGCAAACGGCTAAAGTTTGAGATCTAATAAACAAAGTAAGGGGTCGGTCGAGCCATCCATTGAAGCTTTCTATATATGGTTAAAGTGAGCGTGACTTATTCACATTATAAAACGTGGGAGGAATTGCGCGCGCTATGATTGGTCAATTCCCTTTCAATATAACTCTTTAGAAAACAGTCCCAAGAAAGCACGCGCGCTGACTGATTAAAAATCGTGATTCTATAACTCGATAGAAACACAGAGCTAGCACGAGCTGTTGACGCAATGATGGCGCGACCGAAGAGAATTTACTCTTTGATAATCACTTGGGAATTTTAAAAACACTCGAGAAGTGCAAGAAGCACTCGGCTGCGCTTCGTGCTTCTCTATGCACTTCTCTTGTGTTTTTGAAAATTCCCGCATGCTTATATAACTCGACAATGCACTCGGGCGCGATTTTATTTCTTTAATAATTCAGAACAGACTGGCTTCCACTTGCCTGAAGGATTCAGGTGACCTCGGTCAACCCTGAATGTCTTTCCTGCCCCGTAATAAGTCTTGTCCGTGCCTTGCGTGGATGCTACAGCTGAGTAAGGATACCTTGACCGGGCACACCTTGTGTCAATTCCGTAGAACTGTATTCCATTATCGTTATCGTAAAGTCCTGTTTGAAAAACACGGAAAATTGAGACAGAAACATTAGCCATCTGTGGACATCCTAGAATCAGTGCTAAACGTCTCATTTCATCTTTCAGAATTCATTTTTAAATAAGGGACCAGTCTGTATTTATGATGTAGGGAAGGGAGGGGTGTAAGAGGATTAAACGAGGGTGGTAGGAGGTGCCCTACTTAAAATCACCCTCACAAAAGCAGGAGGTGCTCATTTCAGGGCAAGTAAGGTGGGGGGCTCAAGTATGTTACAAAATCATAAATTCAAACATGCTGTAGTTTGGCTATTTTTGTCTGAAAATGCAGTAAATTGTGCATTAAATGTTCTCAATTTTCACAGACCTCTGAGGAAGCATGTCCCTCATACACCCTATACAAGGCGACATATAATAGATGACTGGACTGAGCTTTGAATGCTTGTTTGTGATATTGACTGATGCATGATGAGGGCAAAGACCGTGGCAATGGTATGCACATGAGAACGTTACGAAAGCTCCTTAAATTTATTCTCATGTAACTTAAAGTGACTGGTTACAGTTTCTATCATTTTCTAGTCCTTAAACTTTGAAGGGTCATAACGGTCAGTCTTTATCCAATGCTTTATCCAACAGCCTTCATTATAGCTTTAAGAGCTAATAACTTAAAAGTTAATTCGGTGACCCCCCTTTTTTATTATAGGGCTATGATCACCATGTTATGGTACAACGTTTTGCAAAGTTCAAAATAATTATTTTGGAGAGGTTTAGAACCACCATAATGTTTTGAAAATTTAGGCGCCCTGGAATAGAATCTCTGGTAACTTTGCTAATCGCTGTAACATTGCATGCTGATCATAACTCGATTATAAAAAAATGGGGATCATCGAGTTAACTTTAAAGTTAAAAGCACTAAAAGCTGAAATTAAGGGTGTTTTTAATGGGTTATACTTTTGCTGTGGTAGCCTTTCAGCACACAAAAATGACGAGAACGTTTTGACCAATGATGGAGCTATACGAAGTTGTGCCAATTTTACTTTTTCAAGGAGTATTTATCCGGTGGAACATTTACTGTTTCTGCGGAAACAAGGGTTTTGTTCAAATTTGATTGTTATTGCCTTTTTTCAGCTAGTAAGCTGGAGAGAAACCTTTTAATGATGAACCAAGGCCCAGTTGTTCAAAGCGCAGATAGCTGTTAACCAGGTGGATAAAATTTGTCATTGTCAAATCACGAGTGAAAGCATTTTAGTTTATTTTCACGGAATAGCAATTTATCCACGGAACAACCGAGGCTAGGCTTGTTCTTCATACCTCTAGCCTTTGGATATTGTTGAAGAAGGCAGCATGAAAAAGCCCAGGTTGAAGGAATATGGGAGGAGAAATACATGTATATCATATAGCTTATATATGTACCGTGCTCATACAAATCCTTCCAGGTGGGTCTACCATCATATCCGATGTTCGGCTTGTAGGCTGAAAAGTCTGCAGTTTTTCTAGTCGTGTCAAACTTAGTGGCGAAA